ACTGAACAATAGTAATACATATCTCATAATCAAAGTCTGAAAAGGACGTATTTTACCGATCACAGAAATAAGGATAAATAAAGTGAAGATAACAATATTATAACCATAACAAGGGTTTCCATCTTTCGAACAGCATAATGTTGAAATTTCATCCAATGTCACCTCATGCTTTTACATAGAATATGTTCAGTCAGGACATCACTTCATCAGGTTAATCGCTATGTGAAAGTAGAAAAGAGAAGGTAGATGGTAAAAATCTGGCATCTAGAACAGTAGTAGATTTGTAGTGATTGTATTGGGGGTACAATGAATCCACATAAAAATATGGTTGCTCTACTTAGAAAGTGTCTCTAGATTTATGATCAATAGTTGCCTTCTTACACAACTTGTGTTAATCCTCTAACCTCAATTGGAGACATCTACCATTTGTCACTAGTTAAGAAATAATAGGTGATCCACAGAAACAGAAACAAGGGAAGAATGATAACTTCTAATGAAGACAAAAAAGAGGGAGATCCTGCATTTTTATGAAAAAAAATTTAACCCCCTCCCCTCTTTCTAGAACAAAAATAATGACTTTCTAGTTCATATGTAAAAACAAGTTCAAAAACACAAGAAGTTTATGCAGACATTTTGATCAGTTAGAAATCGTGGTAGTTATGCACAACAACATTCTCTTTGGTTAAAAACCTACAAAATAGTTGTAAGGCCTAGATAATTAGTCCTTATCTAACATCAAAATAATAAAAAAAAAAAATCTAAGTGACCATAAACTAATTAAAATGGTTTTCCTTATCAGTAATAAGCAGATTGATTTTCGATGTCAAAAACATGTATTTAAAAAACAAGGAAAAATAATCATCATAGTACCAAGAGATACCGTTCCAAAAGGTTAACAATCAACCAAATGTTAAAACAAGTAACCTGTCCCATAGAAACTAGTTTTGTAAACATCATAATTTAACTTAAAAATTAGAAAGATCATAAAACATATCATATCCCACTATACATTACATATGAGGAACCTATGACTAGAACGCTTGATGTGCATAATCACCAGCATGGAACCAGGCCCTAAAACATGCATGAACTAATAGCTATTACGTTTTTTTATTATTCACTATGTGCTCATACCACAAGGGTGTAGTCTGATCAATGTGTCTAGGTGATTAAACACATACCACCAGCAAAAGCTGATGTACACAAATCTTTTGGTTCTCTACAAGTCCAATGGATAAAGCCCGAGCTGTGAATAACATCCAAAAAGTACACTTTCCTTCACAAAAAACTGTTGCCTCAATTACATGCCAACAATAGTCGAGTTCTACTAGTATACCCAAAATTTCTAGCAATCAATCATTCTAAAACAAAGACATAAATTTAGCAGGACTAATAGTTAGGGGATTAATAATCCATGAGATTAGCGTAGGATTGGTTATCCAACTCGGTTAGTGAGATACATAATTCCCTCTTCTCCACGTTTATTTTGCAATAGATATGGAAATATATAATCCCAATTATATATATGTTTTGCATTATTAGTTGTAGGATTAAAAAATCCAACAATTTTGTTTAATAAAATGGTCATTGAAATCTAATCCGAATAAAATTTGCAAAATGTAATGTGAATCTCATGAATTAATAATCCCAATCAGGGATGGAACTGTATAGGGACAGGCAGTGGCCACGGTCCCTCCCAAGTTTTGGAATATTCAAATACTACCCTCATATTTCATGATTATTTATAATATATAATGAGATTATTTACAAAAATATATAATGAGATGATACCTATTTTATAAAATCACTCACCAATTTTTTATTTTATCAGTATTTTATAATATATAATGAGATGATTTTTAACAATTTTAAATTATAAAATGACTTGTTAGATTTATTTAATTTCATCCTTATGAAATTCTGTTTTCACAATGTTTGTATAAAAAATTCTCAGATAGTGTAACCAAGGACTATGAAAGAGATTAACAATTAACAATTAACAATTACGAATAAATAGATACACACATATATGTATACCTCGCAGATGACTTCTTCCTTGCGGGAGTTGAACTTGGTACCTTTGTAGATGTAATTGCTGCAGGTGCCGCAGCGAATGCTTATGGGAAGCATCATCCGCACCTTCATCTGCTGGTTCTTCGGCTGCCTCCGCCTCGGAATCTTGGCCGGATCGAAGTCCGACAGGTAGTACTTGTTCAACACCTTCCTTTCTCCCATCTCTCCTTACCAAAACTACAAACAACAAAAAAAAAAAATTGATAGATCAATAAATTTGCTTCAAATTCAACTGTCACACACACAATGTTAAGTTATTGTTACTTGAAAATTGAGAGTTTATCTTTATTAATTCTTTATTTCTTCATTAAGAATGATTGATAAAAAAATATCTAAAAAATAGAAGAGGTAACATTCTAATTTTACATGTGAACCCATGTTAACTTCTCACCGATTAGACCATATCATCATCCAAAACAACATTTTCATTAATTTAAATTTAAATATTTCATATTTATCAGATATATTGAACATCCAAGTGTAGATATTTTTTTCTAAATAATTTAGAAAAAGTAGCCGAATCTTTACGACTTACGATTCGATTCAATTACCGATTCGGTACAAGGTTATTTTAATTCACAATTCGAATCCCGATTTGACAAATATGCTTTTAGAGTACACAAAGTTATGAAGAAAGTAACGTGCCACGTGATAAAATGTGGTACATTCCAGGATAGGTTTTATCTATTACATAGTTGGAACTTGGAAACTTAATAATCTAATTTTGGAACTAGAATTAAATTAATCGTATTCCATACATTGAGTCCTCAATATATTGTTCCTTGGTCTCTTGCTCAAAATAAGTCTATTGTATAAGAATTCACCTTGCAACTCTTGATGTATAGCCTCATAATTAGAAAAAACAGGGACAAAACTTAGAAGCAATTTTCTAAAAGGGCTGCAACGTGGCAGCATCCATATTGGTTTGGCCTAACCAAACCCCGATCCCCCAATTACACACAAAGCATCCCAACCCATCCCTACCCCTGCCCCACCCCGCCTAAGCCAACCGGTTTAACAAGGTTGGGGTGGGTTGAACCGACATAGATGCAATTAAAAACACAGCTCTTATTCTTTTTATTTTCCTTTGACATACACGCTGCTGGATTCCAATTATATTTTATTTCTAGTTGATAATACCAAAGATGCATGGATAGGTACACAATATAGACACACCAATCATGAAATTTTTGAACAAATCAATACAAAACGTGGCAAGGAGACGACAACAAACAAATATATAGTTTTATTTACGGCTGCGGTACGCCGATATTTTTTTTTTATTATTATTATTTTTATAATTATGGTTGAAGGATCCAACCTACAAATTATCATGGTTAAAGCATAAAAAATAATATTTGTGATTGTTAACGTTCTGTTGGGGAATAACTGTGTTCTAAACTTCTAATTAATTTTTTTGATTAACATTCTTCTGTTGAGGAATAACTTTGTTCTAATTAATTTTTTTGATTATTAACATTCTGTAAGTATGATTGATTATTAATTTTTGTGTTGTAATTTTTTTTTTGGTTCTACTATACATTCTGACCAGGTTCTACCTCTCTGAAGAAGAAAGAAGAAAGAAGAAAGAAGAAAACAACAAAAAAAATAAAGATGAAGACGAAAAAATATAAGACGAAGAGATGAAGAAACAAATTCTGACCAGTTGCTTGCTGATATGCAGGGGCAGCCAAAAATTCTGACCAGTTTCTCACCGGAGGGAAGACGAAGAGATGCAAGAAGGGACAAAACCAGTTGCTTGCTGATCTGCAAAACAAAAAATATATAAGACGAAGAAGAAGAAACGAAGAAGACGAGGGTGGAAGATGTAGGCGAAGAAGAAGACGAGGGTGGAAGATGTAGACGAAGAGCACTCACCGGAACTCTCCTTGCGTCGCCGTCGCCGGAGGCCTTGGAATGGAATGGATGGGTCGCCTCTTTGCTGCTGTGTTGCCGAAGTGAAGAGATTAGGGCAAAACCTAGGTCATTCGTGTATATACCCTTTTTTTTGTTTTTATGAAATTTTTCTTAATATTGCTCCGGTACCCCTCAATTCTCCTAGAAATTTGATTTTTGTCCCAGCGTACCCGAAACGTACCAAAGCCGTATCCATGCCGTACCCGATTGAACCAAACGTACCGGACTCCTTTTTGCCGTACCTGATATGCGTACCCGCACCCGATAAGTACCCGGTACGTGTACGTGTACGACATTATATTTGGAGTACTCGTGCTTCACAGTGACTAACCAATTATCCATCATTCTTACACTTACACATAAAACATTAGATTTGTTTCATTTTCCTCAAATTATTAATAGTGAGAATCTTACCATGAGTTGTCGTTCAAGTAAAAAAATATATATTAGTAGGTATTTCACACCTCAAACACCTCTCCACAATACAGTCCCACCACTACTACCCAACAACCTTATAAAAAAGACTTGACTACAAAGCTTGCAAATTTTTCTTTGTCAGTTATAAATGGATGAAGAAGTTCAAATATAAGAGAGAGATAGAGACAACCATTAGATCTTGCTCAACTCTCCAATCTCATTGTTTATGGCTTTGGAGGGGTAAAACAGTTTAGACTTCTTTCCCCAAGTATAACAGTGCAGGCTTCTTTTGCTAACAATGGTTTGGGGTTGGGATTATAGGTTCAGCAATGACCTCAAGTTACAAACTATTTGGGGATGCGAGAAAGTTAAATTAGATTGCATTGTGTATCATAATCAGACTATATGTTGAACAAAGTATCCTTTTGTTGCTTCTCACAAAACATAATAATAATCAGACTGTATTTTTGCAACCTGAAAGCATTCATAGCTATGGAGAAGGATCTGAGGGAAATCACATGTCTTTTTATCAACTCATACCAAAAAATCTGCAACCTAAACCCACAAATTACATGTCTTTTTATCAACTCAATCAAAAGGAGAGAAAAACTAGTCTTAAAACAGGACGAACACACACATATATATACATCAAACCCTCTCACGCTACATAGAGACGCAAAATCTCAAAAGAAACCATTGACGAAGATTCTCAGAGGCTGATTACTCGTAAATGATCAACTCAATATACAAAGAGAGGTATCTGTATATCTTCTATCTAGAGAGAGAGAGAGACCTTAGTGTAGATCGATCGCCGTTCAGTGTAGATCGTCGGTCGGAGGTTCAGTGTAAACCGTTGGACGATGGGTAGGGTAGAGAGAGAGAGAGTCTCTGCGTATGTTGTGTTTGTTTGTTGGGTCTACGAATAAATTAGGGTAAACTGAAAGAAAAAGGGGCCTGAGGCGTAAAAAAAATTGAAAAAAATAAAATAAAACAAGAGTCAATGCGGGTCGGGTTTGTTAGGTATAATGGTGGCTCACCCGCCACCTGACTCGAACTTGAGAAAATTAAAAATTTGAGCTTGCACCCGTCTGTCACGTGTCACGCATCCATCAATTACTGGTCGGGCTGGATGGTTTTGACGGGTCGGTGGATCCACTACACAACTCTACTAAGGAGATAAAAGCTCTATGAATTTGGGAATAACAATTGCAATACCTGAAATTAGGATTTGGTTTGAGCTTTTGTAAGTTCTGCATAGTACAATCCTTGTTGAACTCCAACTCTCATTTGTAGAATCCTCTTAGAAATCACACTCCTAAAGGATAATGCTTATCCTTTAACACCCTCCTCATAAGCTAAGTAAGATATCACAAATCTTTGGACGGCTTCCCACCAAGCATCTGAACTACTTTACTTTGTCCGCCACTGACTTAGCTGTGCAACATGCAGCACTGTGCAGATTTTGCACGATGCGCCACCATGTTGACATTGTGCGGCTCCTTTCCTAGCTCGGTCAAAGTTTCACTCTCAATTTTCGTTTGACTGTCTTCCCTTGTATCTCAATCAAAGCGTTGGCCGTCTCTAGGAAGTAGCTAGGTCAAAGAATATGGGCATTTACTAGTCCATTCAAATATCTATGACCAGCCTGACCTCTGTTCGGCCCAAACCAAGCTTAGCTCGACCCATCACACAGCCCAAACGTTAAAGCCACTTCCAACTAGTTCAACCCAATTTGGCCATACAAATTACCCTCTCAATAACTAATGAAGAAAATTGATCATAACTACAAAAAAAATGGCATAACTGAGGGTGCATATGGCGCATCCTTTTTAAAGGTGTGTAGGATAGAATTTCATTTTTCAAAAATAGTCTGTAGATGAGTTTTTCTTTATTTTTAGTATAAAAAATTAGGGGATTGACCAATAATAAATCCTATATTTTGGATTTGTGTGTCATATAGTTTTTTTTTTTTTTTTTTTTTGCTTTTGGATATGTAATTACTTATTTGCCCATCATATTAGAATGTTACATTTGAAAAAAGTATAAATGAAATTTTTTTAGTGTGTTACATCATACCCATCACATTGTATGTCATATCATATCTGCCACATTGGAGTTTCACATTTGGGAAAAGTATACGAAGGAGTTATTTAGTGTGTCACATCATATCCGCCACTAGGGTTGTGCGCGGTGTGTGCACGGTGCGATTCGGGCAGTTTGAGAGTAAAATTATAAAGCAAATGGCGGTTTGGCAGATTAGCAGTTTGGCAAATTGTGGTTTGGGTGGTTTGAAGCGAACTAGAGGATTGAAAAATATTCATAAGCAATTATCAAGAGGATTGAAAAATATTCATAAGCAATTATCAAGCATTTACATAATATATAATACTAATTTGCATAATATTTTTCATGTATAACACAAACTAATTTTACATTATATTTTTCATACATATAACTACTAATTTGTAACAAATTTCACATCTTAAACCTCTCTCACACTCATTTTTACTTTAATATTTCATTAGAGGTTACAAAATGTATATGTATTAAATATAGTAGAGCGAAGCGGTTTTGAAAGTAGATTATAAATTTTAAAATTCAAATTGCAGTTAGCTGATAGAGCTGTGCGGATCGATACAATTTTAGCGGATTGGACGGTATTTTTCACAATCTTACCTGCCACATTGGAGTGTCACATTTGAAAAAAATATACTAAGGAGTTATTTAGTGTGTTACATTATACTACATTGGAGTGTCACATTTGATAAAAGTGTACTAATTTTTTTTTTAGTGTGTCACGTCATACTTGTCACATTTGAGTGTCACATCATACTTGCCACATTAATGAAAGAGTATAGTCATCTATCAAAAACTATCAAAACCAAAAATAGGATCATACAAAAAAACTCTCTACTGATAGGACTTAAAAAATTCACCAAATATAAAAAAATATAATATATTTTTGTATTTTGTTAAATTCAATAATTTTTTCTAATTTTTTTTTACAAATTATATATTTTTTAAGTATATCAAGATGAAGTAGATCTAAAAAATAAAGATAAAAATCGTAATTAAAATATTTTTAAAAATTACTAAAAATACAAAATACGAATTAAAAACTCAAAATTATTTACAAAAACTACAAACCAGAGTTGTTTCTCAAAATTCCCAATCTTTAAAAGGATATTGCTGTACTTTTTAGGAACACAAAGTCAAATAACTCGTAGACATTGCTCGCATTGCACAGATTCAGGAAAAGAAATGACAATATATTGTTTTACGCTTTGATTGGGAAATTTGAGAAAGAATTTAGAAAAGAAAAGAAAAAAAAAAAGATGTGTAAAACTAAATAAAATGTAAATATATTTTATTCACATTTTACCTACCTTTTTGCTTTCCTTTTTTAAATCCGCAACCAAACATAGCGTTAAAGAAATTTATAAACAGTAATTTGAGTACATTGCTCCAAGAGAAGCTTTGGCTTTTCAAGATCGTACAACATGCTTTGAACAGTAATCAATTTAAAGTAGGAAAGTTTTGGGTTGTGTTTGGTTGCATTCTTAAAATATATTTCCACCCGTACATTTGCGCTTCATGTTTGGAAACAATTTTCAAATTGTAATTCCTCCATACAATTCAAAATACATCTTCACTTCCCGTTTGGCAGATTTCTCCCTTCGTTTCTCCACTGTAAAAAGCTTCCAATGGTACATACTCTGTGTCTTTGATATTCTCCATTTCTGAAAAGCTTCACATGAAAGAAATTTAAAGCTGAACTTCTGAAAAGCTTCACCTGGAAAGAAATTTAAAGCTGAACTTCACGAGTTGTGTCACGCCTCGAATTTTAATTATTCGAAAACATTACCAAAAGCCTTGAATTTAGGTCTTTTTTTCTTTTTGAAAACAAATATCTATTTCCCTTGAGTAATAGAAACATAATAATACACGTCCTCTCTCGCGATGAATACAACAATCATAATAATACATTCCAACTTCCACTGTGGAGCTACAAATAAATAAATACAAACATCAATGTACAATGAGATTACACATAAGAGAGACATGAACTTCCTAATCCTTCAACCAATCAATCTGAATTCTCTTCCTGTAAAAAAAAAAAATGAAACAACAAGGAGTGAGCACAATTGCCCAGTAAGAATTTCATAGTTCTAAAACAATAACCATCTAGTAAGTGACGTTTTGTAATTTCAAAATATCATACGTAGGGTATCTTTTTCTTGAAATTTATTTGAACATTTAGGAAAACCTTCGACCATCAAACCTATCCGTTTTATCAAAAAACCATAAATCCTTTTTGGAAACAAAAATCTTTAAGGAACCACATCATTTTATATTTATTAACCCATTCCAAAATATTCCTTATTAAATTCTCATCTTAACATTCCTCTTTTTATTTCTATTCTCCCCTTTTACTAGTTACATTTATTATAACTTCATAATCTCAAGTTCAAGTTCCCTTAATACTCCAAAACATCACACATACATGTTATTCCCACCAATCTATTCATATTTGTTGTAACTCCTCAATATAGAGATCCAAATCTCTTTTATATTCAATAATTGTTATCCTACACTCAACTCCTACACATCTAACAACTATATCACATCCACACTTGCATTAGCAAATATAATTCAATA